GAAAAGTTTCGCAATTATTTTAGATAATTATCAGCAATGATTATTAAATAAAATGACACGTCAGTTAAAATAGTACTTCAAATAATGTTATTTAAAAAATGATCGCTGGACCACAGATTTCTATGTAAAATAAAAATTGTCAAAGCTAATTATAAGAAACTTAATTCTTATAATTAGAGAGATTACTAATTATAAGATACCTTCTTATATATATAATACCTCTTACCTACCTTAACTACCTTCTTCGAGGTCTTCAAAATTTTGTAATTAACCTAGTTATTTTAGTCAAAAATGCATAAAATCCGCGGTCTGATCATTTCTGATTAATATATTGTAATATTATATTATAATAACATGTCATTTAAAATAATACTTTAAATAAATTAATATTATATATTATTATATATATATAATAATATAAATTATATTATTAATTATGAAATAATAATAATTAATAATAATTAAATAAATAAATAAATATATATATATAATATATAATATTAATTTATTTAAAATACTATTTTAAATGACATGTTATTCTATTTCATAATTCTCGGAGACGATCCTTCAAAATAATTACGAAAACTCTTCTACGGCCGAATTCTCGTAACAGAGCATTCTGCATTATCATTCGTCCAAATCAGCCTGACATTGAAATTTAATCGGCTCGATAGTCGCTTAGGCGGCAACGCGTTCGCGTTTAGCTTTGTTCCTTCTATCTCTGATTGCGGCCGCTTGTTAACCATCGGTCAGATTATTGTGCGCGTTGATAACACGCAACCGCTTGTATACGAATTCACGGCAAATTCCTCGCGTATCGCCGTAATAACGCTTGATGATCGATTGATAATATTTTTGCGAGCCGACCGTTTGCCACGCATCGAAGCTCCGTCACACCGCGTGTTCAGTGAATATCGTTCTACGCGTCGTCGCATCGACGAGTCAATAATTAATCACGGGACAATGGCACTGCGACGAGACTCGATCGTAATAAGAAACGGCTAATCCAGTTGATCCTGCGTCGACAGCTCTTTAGATTGACGCAGAATTTAACACAGTAATTTCTCCCAGAAATGTTCGGAGGTTGGAATTGAAACCGGCAGATCCGAGAATAC